GCACTCGTGAGTAAGATAGGAATTTTGTGCAATCGGTAATCCTGTTCTCGGTTTTGCTTATCTTTTGATTGAGCTGTTGTGGTTGTTGCATCTTGCATGCTCAAAAATTACGGAGTGGTTAGACAATCGGATGTCTAGCCTAGCGAACGCCGCGCGAGGACATGTGTAAACGCGATCTGAGTTGCGCATTTACACGTATCCCCGCGCGTCGATTCGTCAATCCCAAAAAGGACCATCGATTGTAGAAGCACTGTCTGATTGGACGTGGCCATCCAGGGTCTATGACGGAGCAGTCATCCCATACGAACACACTTAAGCGCGACTTGATTCGCGTGGCCTGCACGTGTTCGCACGCGGTGATCGCAATCGGCACAAACCCGCCCTTAGGCATCTCGTAGCTCCGCGATGACATAATGACACGCTCAGAGAGCTCGTCGTCGTTGTTGTACGACCCGGACTACTTCACCCCTTGGGTAAACGAAATCCTCCGACAGAGATACCATTGCCTCACCGAGAACCGACTGTGTCCTTGGGAGTTTCACTGCGCCACCACGAGCGACCCCCGGTGCTCTGATTTCCCTACTCAGGACCACACCCACTACTTCACCCACCCCGGCTTTGTCGTTATCTCCACCAGCTTCCCTCCCTTCCGACTTCTTCTTCCGTATCATCAACTCCGCGTCGTCTCGTGGAAGGCCATAGCCCCCTACTGCCCCAGTACACCCTGCGGAAATTGTCGACGACGTGGCGATCCAAGAACCCCGGAAACTCGGAGGCCTAACCCAAACGCGCGGCGACCGGCGCCACGTGGCAACTTTCGACGGCCCGACTCATTGGAACCCCACCCACCCCGAAGGGACCTTCCCGCAAGCCGCCGCCCTCGGAACCAATGGCTCGCCCGGCCCTGAGTGCCCCGCGCATGCCCTCTGCCTTATGACCAGGGGCGGTCCGCCCTCTCCGCCCAATTGCACTCGTGCCCCCGAAAACCCCTGCCACAGGAGATCTCAGTTCTGACCTGGGACTCCACCCCCACTTTCCCAAAAATCCTTGGCACACCCCTTTTCGCACTTCCAGGCCCACATCCTACTCCGATCAGGAAGTCGCGCTGGGCGTGAGGTTGGGCGTCACAGGGTGTTGTAGAGGCCAGTCAGTGTGTACACAGTGATCACCTGGAACTGTGAGCCGTGGGTGTCCTGGAATATGAGACCACCTCCCAACCCATCCTCACGTCAATACTCCTAGCGCACCCCCTATCCCACTATTCTACCTCAGTGTGAGCAGCACTCAGGACCATTGCCCTACCAACGGGCAGGCAACTTGGACCGAACAGCAGTGATAGGCACCAGGGCTGATAGATTACCCAGCCCTGGTGGAAGCGGAATCGGACGAACCTTGTCGAACGGGAACTTCGGATGCCAGGCCCAGACAATGAACTACAGGCCCCATATATATGTAGCCACCAGACAGCTCTATCCGAATGTCAGTAGGAACTGCACCCAATGGCACCCTATCCAACCTACCTGAACCTACTGCAGGCACTAGACCCCACCAGTGACTAACTCCCCAGCCTGTTTTTTGTGTATATATTCTGTGAATCTGTGTAGACAGTATCATGTGTGGAACCTTGTGCATGTAACCTGTACGCCATATATAATTCGCAAGCTATGTGTGTATGCCCGAAAGATATGTGTACTCTGTGAATCATGTATCGAGGAGAGACTGGGCCAGCTGGACAAGGACCCCCCCCAAGGACCGAACCAAGCTTGAACCCGTGCCCTTGTAACATGTAATCCAAGACTCTTAACGTATGTGCAACTACCGGAAATGGAATGATCGTGTGATATGCCAGACTGGGGAGAACATCAGAACACCCGAGACCAACACCCCAAGCAAACCCTGTGAAACCCACAACCAACATACAACGCCGTGGACTACCCTTGGGTGGTGCGCAGGCAGTGTCTGTAATAGTACCATGCGTCAGCCCAAGGGGATGTGTGTAACTCACATGAGGCCTTCATTCTACAAAGCTCTGGAAGTGAAGGCTGTCAGATTCATCCAGGTGTGGCCGTAAGGAAAGGTACTACCAGTGCGAGCCAGTAAGGTACTAATGTGAGCATGCCCTGAGGATACCCTAGTAGCAGGAGGGGGAAGGCGGAGGGGGAAGGCCGTTTGGAAGCCGGCGGGATATTGTGCCGGTCGGGAGCGATTCTCTCATATTGCTGACTGGATGCCATTTCGCTTCATCTCGTCCCCGAGGGATCGGATCTGCAACTGGCTCTGGAACCGGGACTGTTCTCTACCCGCCAGCAACAGCAACCAGGGACTTGCGGACTGAGTGAAGAGCGCGCGATCTGCTCTGTGGGACGAGCGTAGCTTTCTTGGTTGCAATTTCTCAACGGTTGAGCAAAACCGCGCAACTGGTGAGGGAGGTTTTTCAAAATAGCCATCGCCCCCGGTTCAAATTTCATTCCTCCCACTTCTCAAGTGCCTCGTGCCTACTTACCTCCAGTAAGTCCTCATCGGATTGGAAGTCGGCGAACAGGATGGGCGTCAACAAAGCAAAGGTCGGCGAACAAGCAACCCGTGTTCCCACCTGAGTTGTGCTAACGAGATGTCTGCGGGTCTGTGTGTGCATGTGTGACGCGCTGCTATGAGCGAGTGTGTGTGTGTGTGTGTGTGCGAGAGAGAGAGAGAGAGAGAGAGAGAGAGAGAGAGAGAGAGAGTAGTTGTCCTTGATATCGTCTTGAAGGAGCAAAGAGATTTTGTACAGTTTGTTGTTGATCCACTTCATTCTATCCATGTACTGAATTCACCGTCGATCGAGATCAGCTGCCATCTGAGCTGGACTGCTGTTTAATTTATCACGTCTGTCAAGAAGACGTCATCCTTGAGAGGAAAGATCATGGCGTCAAACTCTTCGTTTGAATGCGAATGTTGCCGAGGGCGAGGTGGAAAGTGGAAGAGTCGGGCACCAAATGTGCATGCCTGTTGGTTATTGAGGAATTACGGTGCAGACTGGAGATGTAATGGTGCTTAGTGGGCAACCGACGCAATGATCAGGCTTTGACGCGGTGTCCATTTCTTCGAGCTGGGTTAGATCGATGATGTGCAGTGTCCGGTAACTGACGATGGGAGCATTGTGTTTTTGGAGTAGTCGGGAGGAGGACGGAGGCGTGAGTCGTGTGATCAGTCAGTGCCTTCTTTGGGGAGAGAGGACATCATCGGTCTGGATTGGGACCCCTGTGGCTGCGTTTTCGGGTCTTGTTGAGGCCCGTTCATGCCACCTTCTCTTTGTAACTAGTCTTTCCGCTTTTGTACATAGTGCTAGATTGTGCTTAGACGGGCCAGGAGGAGCAGGAGGGCCAACTGCAGCGGGACTGAAGATGACGGGGATCAGAGTGGCAGCCTATTGCTTCGCGGCGGCCTTCTGTGGCTACATGGTAGGGAAGTCGCTTCCAGATCTTTTCAGGAAGAGACTACGAATCGACTTTCGTGTCTCCCACAATGTGAATGACTCGATTGATTTGCGTTCTGATTCGCAGAACCTGCTCCCGATTCATCATTATGAGACCTCAACGACGGCAACCTTCACCTCGACTATCACGACGAAGACTGTGACAACGACCAGTGGCAATGGTAAGAGCAAGCTGGCGGCGGTGCCGGCAGAGGTAGAAGGAGGAGGAGGAGGAGGAGGAGGAGGAGGGCTTAATCGGCAAGAGCTTGAGGGCGCCGTGAAAAATGCGAAGCTGGGAAGGGAGATGAACCCTGCTGTGCCTGACGACGCCAGGTCTGTTACTACCCTAGAGCGATCTGCGAGAGGCGGTTGTGAACACTTCTCGTGCTCTCCGATTATTGCCTCGGGACCGTCTTCTGACAGCCCGTCAGCGAAGAACGAGATGTTCGGTGCGGGGAACAGGGCAGGATCGGAGTCGCGGTCTGTGTGGAAGGGAAGTGGCTCGCCGGCAATCAGGAAACAGAGGCGGGATAAGCTGTTGCTGTCGAGAAGATCGCTTCGCGTTATCAACGTCTCGTATCTTCGTCACTTGAAACAGAAGATTAGTGAAGCTCAGATGTCATACGATTTGCTTAGAGATCAGCTGGAAGAGACCCAAGAAGCCCTCGAAGTTCAGTCGGATGCATACCTCGAAATGCAGTCCATTTGTAAACAAAGAACAGACGACCTTGTAGAGTGCCAACAACGGCTCGCCAAACAGGGTACGAACCTCTCTACCCCTTTTTCCGACGCGCTATCCTCATGCTCGTTTCGTATATTCTCTTTCTCTGTATTACCGCCTTTCTCTCTTTTTGTCCTTCTCCACTTTTGCGAGTTTTTTTTTTAATTGTTAATTCGACACTTTCCGAGTTTTTCCGCTGGCGTTTTCTTTTTTTGCGTTCTTCGTTATTTTTCTTGATTTGTTTGCAGACTCCTCGCTGTCTGATGAGGAAACGTGCAACGGATACGCGCTCTCTGTGGATTTTTTTCGCTGAAGTGGTTGAAGACTAATGCGCACCTGATACGCTTGTGGGCGTCGGAGGTTGTGTGAGGGCATACTAGCTCTATGACTTTTTCTACTAAGCTTTGCTCGTGATTGCGTTGCGATTCATTCAGGTGTGCCCGTAATTGCAGTCAGGTACATTTAGGAAAAGTTATAATGTGTCAGTATCCCCTACGTGAATACCGATATCAACATAGAGTGCTGTTCCGCCGTGTTAGTTTTTGTTGATAGATCTACTCCCATGGCTGCAGAAAGAGTATGTAGCGAAGAACTGGCGCCCAAGACCAAGCATCGCTGGACTAAGGGATAGATCCCACCAGCACAGAGATTGGATTGAAAACCTGAATCTGGACGTGTGTTTGTGGAGACGTGCAGATCATTGCGATTGCTCAGGCGCTTAGTCAAGTCTTCTTGGCTAGAGGGATCTCGCCCTGAGGTATGCTGGGCTATCGAAGCCGAGCAAAGCTGAATTCCTGAGTTCGGCGAAAACCGCCATAGAAATTGCCGGCCCATCCGATTACTTCTCCCACGTGCTCCAACCAAAACGCCTTAACTACCAAAACGAAGCATCACACACGCTGCATATCATCGTATGTGACAAAACGCGCGATTATCGCTTCGTTCTCGGCGGGATCGTGAGCAGTGGAATAGAGGGGAAGTTTTCTTGCTCGGTACCTCGATCGTGTTCCCCATAGGTGTGTCTGGGGTGTGAATGCCTGTGGGACAGACACTTCCTGGCTGGTTTCCCAAGAATTTCAGTGCCCCCCTTACTTATCCTGCGACATCCGCTGCTTTCCCTCTCTCTCTCTCTCTGTGTGACTGTCATTCATCTTACGTCTTATGGAGAGACTTTCATTTGGCGAGAGAGCGAGCAGGGAGGAGGGCGAAGGGGGAAGGAAGAGGATGCAGGCGTGGGTGTATGCTGTGTGACGCAATCATAGCTTCCCGCACTTTCCCTGTGGGCTCGCTCTCCGTGTAGTCATTACGTCCCTTCTGTCCGCGTTTTGTCTTCGTATCTTGTCTCGTTCTTCTGCCCTCGTTTCTGTGCACGCCTGAATAACCTTAGTTATGGAGCGGTTTGGAGCCTTCACGGGAGCCTTTTGGGCTATTAGTTTGCCACACCCGTGCTTCTCATTCCCTTTCCCTTTCCCTTTCCCTTTCTGTCCGTTCAAAGCGTTGGAGGGGGTTAACTCTTCGGCGGGATACCGCGCGCGTCTGCACCAGTACGTCTGTCATGTGGGGAGGTTTGGGCCTGTCAAATGCCTATTATTGAATTCTAGACAAGCCGAGAATTTCAGAGCGAAGGCCCTCGCAACCGTTCTTTTTGTCCTTTTTTTTTTTTTTCTGGTCGCCTGGTCTCTTTATTTGAGAGCAAATTTAAGCTATGGCCGCCGGTTTTGCTTAGCGATTGGCACAAGTTTGCTTTC